AACTAAGATACATCATGTTCTGGTACAAACACCCAATGATAAATGTAAATGTATTTTATACCTAAAATGTACCAATAAAAAAAAAAAAGAAAGAAACAGGAGAGAGTGTAAATGACATTTAAAAAACTGTTTATAGAAGTAATAGCAGAAAACTTCCCAGGCAGGGGAAAAGAACTTGACATACAGATAAATGAGGCATATAGGACTCCAACTAGCCATGGTCAGAACTTTCCTGGGTCTTAAGAGATTCACCTCCTTCCTTTTTCTTTTCTCCAAGTTGCTGTACTCCAGCATCTGGCCTCCCAATCTTGGAAGGGCTGACCTGTTGCTGCTTACCACTCTGCCATATTCCTGGAAATAGATATGCTAACATTAGCAGGAATCTTCATACATATTGATGCATCTACAAAAATTTTTTCATGCAAAGTTCATTTCTTTTTCTAAATACAATTGTTCACTCAGTAAATAATAAAGATAAAAGGTTTCTTTGGCAAGATGCTGCTCAATTGTCTCACACTAGTGTTTCTTTTTCATTCTAGCAACAGCAGATTTGCAGCACCAAATCATTTCATTGGTGTCAACACATATTTGAGTCTTGTTTCCATTTATGACTTCCCACATTTTTGGAATATATTTGAGTCTTCATTGAATCACCTGCAGAAAACTGTTTCTGATTCTCACTGAGGTCAAATTTAATAACAGGGTATTTTGTAAAATTATCACTTCTTTTCTAATTTAGAAAGAAAGAAAAGACAGTGAAGAAACATCATATCATGACTTTTTCCTTACATTAAAAAGGTCCAATAAGTCCTGTTTCTTAGGATGAAAGATGGGATGTCTTTGATTTCTTATAAACATATTTGTCACTAGTCATCATCAAATGCTTTGTTAAATCACATAAAAATGTCAGAACACTACAGTCAAGAAGACAGTAACAACAGTTGGTAATGACATGGACAAAACACAAAATCAGATATTGAAAATATAAAATTGGCAGTCACACTGTAATACTGTGACTGCCCATTTCTGCAATAATGAAACATATAGTTATTTTTTTCAGTCCACTATGGTTTCTAGACAAAACTTCAGAATCAGAAAAAAATAAAGAAGTTTAATTTGGCTCAATTTTTGGACAAGGTGAAGTAATTGTATCTGGTGATGGCCTTCTTGGTGAGAGTCCTGATTCACAAGGCATCATGTGGTGAGAGACTGAGTATATGTGAGTGTTCTTTACTCTGTCTCTCCGTATTCTAGCTTTGAATAAGGGGACATCAGAAAGCAAACTTCTCTCTTCCTAATTGTCTCCTAAGTTCCCCAGCTGTGGATACTCAGAAAGTTTCTATTTCTTAGTATGTCTCAGTGAGGATTTCACATCATCATGAGTTTTGAATCAAATGATCCATATGTAATCATCACAGATTCCATATTACTCTCATTTTCTATCCTAGGTATATACAGAAAAGTTGTGAAGAGAAAGGCCACATAAAACTTGTGCATGACTGATTACAACTTAGCATTCATCAGAGATAAAAGGCAGAAACAACTGACGTGTTCTTCAACTGATGAACACCTAAAAATGTAAGCTGCCAAAAAAAGAATACTCTTCAGGCATAAAAAGAATGGAGGTTTTGATTCCTACATTTATAGATTAAGAAATGCCATGCCAAGAAAACAGACATAGGAATAGTGTTCAAATATCCACTTGTATAAAATGGCCAGAATATCAAAATCTTGAGTAGACAGTACATCAGCAGTTCATGGCCTTGACATAAGCAAAAAAAATAGATAAAGTAGGCAGAATTTCTAAAGAGCTACAGAAACTCTTCTAAATAATGATCTCCAGGTTAATTCATGTTGTTAAGAAAGGCAGGGTATCCCTTTTGAAACTAAATAGTATTCTGTTGTATAATAAACCACACTATTCTTATGCATTCACATGTTATGGAGTAAAAGATTCTCTAGGTATAACAGCTGAAACTTCCAAATTGAGCCACACTACAACTATTCTCATTTTAAAGTGTCAGCTATTTTTTTTATAGCAATTGAAAGCTCACTAACAGATCCATTGGAATGGAGCTATGTTGTTTTCAAACCATGCCTATTGAGAATTAATTCTTCAATGCACACGGGAATGCAGATATCTATTTTAGATTCTGATTTCATTTTAATACAGTTTCAATTCAATTCTTTTTATTTTCCTTCTAAATGTTTGTGGTAATGATGTTGAACTCAGATCTTTGCGTACACTAGGCAAGTGCTCTGCAAGTAATTACTTCACCAGCACTCAACTCAATTTCTTGGAGTGTAAATCTCTTAATATTTAAAGAAGGCACTTTACGTATTCAAGCATCTGCTAACAAAGTTGATGCACATTCTGATTCTTTTTCTAAGCACAAGTCTTCAGACTCAATAAATTTTAAAGAAAAGAGCTTTAATTTGTCTCACAGAATCATAAGAACTAGTTAAGACAATATCACCAGAACTTTCCTCCACTGTCTCACATTAGTGTTTCCCCTCATACTTTAAGAACAGAACATTTGCAGTGTTGAGTCACTGCACTGATGCTGACCTAAATTTCACTCTTGTTTACAGTTATGTCTTCCCATAGTTTAGAGAACACTGGTTTCTTTAATCTATCACCTGTTGCAAACTATGCTTACCTTCACTATTCTGATTTTAGGACAAGTTATTTTGTACATTTTTATCTTTCTTTTTAAGTGAAAAAGAAAGAAAACACAGTTAACCAATGTCATCTCTTTTGACTGTTTCTTCATCTTAAAATAGAACAAAAATTCCAATCTTCTTTAGGAGGAAATAATTCATGTATTTGTAGCTGTTAAAACCATGCTTGTCATTAGCCATGAGGCAAATGTTTTGTTATATCATAATAAAATGCTACCAAGTACACCACAGTGAGAAAGACACAAACAACCGTTGCTGAGGATGTGAAGAAAACTCAGTTATTGAAAATACAGAATAGACAGTTATGTTGGACAACACCCTGACAATTTCTTTAATAATGAAACATATAGGTATTTTTCAGTCCTTTTCCATTTCAAAACAAAATATTTCATATTCAGTAAATAATAAAAAGGTTTACTTTGGCTCAGAGTTTTGGTGAGAAATTTAAATCTGATAATGGTCGGGCTGGGGGTTTAGCTCAGTGGTTCCGGCACCTGTCTCGCAAGCACAAGGTCCCGAGTTCAATCCCCAGTACCAAAAAAGAGAGAAAGAAATATTGGCTGGGGATTTAGCTCAGTGGTTTCGCCACCTGCTGTGCAAGCACAAGGACCCGAGTTCGATCCCCGGTACAAAAAAAAAAAAATCTGATAATGGCATTCTTGCTGACAGAGACCTGAGGTCATCACACAGGAATCACAGAAAGAGTCTAAGAGTGCAGGTAGGTGCTCTCCTCTTACTCTCTTTGTTTCAATGCCAGTATTCAATTATAGGGACTCCCCGCCAAAAAACCCCCCAAACTTATCTACTTCTAACTGGCTCCTATGTAACCCAACTGTCTATATTTACTGTTTCACCTATTGTTTTCATGTTTTCATCTATTTGTCTATACCACTGGAAATTAGATTTTATCATGAATTTAGAATGGAACAATCCATAGATAACTGTAATTGTTTCCATATTACTCATTAATAACTATCTTAGTTATATACACTAGTCATGAAAACCTAAATTCACACAAAAATTTGTTCATGAATGTGCAGACAGTTATGTAGAGACTGATAGGCAGTAGGAAAGGAACCAGGCCTAAGATAGAGCCATTTCTGAGATGAGATGAACTGGGTCTGAAATTGAGGGCTGTGCTGATAGAAACCAGGCTGCAAGATGGAGACATGATAGCTAGGTCCACAAGCCTCACCACAGATAAATAACTGATGGAAACCACCCTGAGTCAGTTAAATTTATAAACTGGCTTTTCATATTGAAAGTCTGAGTCTGCTTATTAGCCATAATGGATTGCCTGAAGAGCCAACAGTTGGTGTGTGGAAATGAAACAATTCCCCATGCCCCTGGTCACAGCAGAGGTCTCAATGATCCTTGATGCTGTGGCATCTTCGATGGCAAAACAATACTGCAGCTAAGGGCAACGTAACTCGTACACAAAATTTCTATACACTTGATCTTAGCCAAAAGGCTGAGAAGCGATTCACAAAATTTCTATAGAAGCAAAAATTGATGGAAAAACAAATTTCCCATTAATCAATGTTCCATTCCTACTAGAATGTTTTGTTTTCTTGTTGCCAGGATCCTGCTCACATCAGTGCTCTCCACACTGTTGTTCTCTGCACCACACTTTACCCCTCCAAGAACCTGCGTGTTTAATAAATAGTGGCAAGCTCCAGGAGACAGCGTCTTTGCCTGATAAGAGCTTTGACCATCCTGGGCCCCCTTTATGCAATAAAGATCTTGTCTTCTTTTGTTATCCTGCTGTTGTATCCTTGGTCAGAGGATCTGGGGCCTGATCAGCCCCCGATAAATAAGTTCAAAGTTGTATTGTAACTAATACCATCTGGTCAGGTAAGCCCAAATAGTGTAACAGAAAAGTAGGTGGATGACCAGAACACCCTGACCCTTTCTCCTACTCCTTCCAGGAATCCCTTTGTTCTTTTTTGTAGTAAGTTATAGGTACAGTTATAAATACAGTTAATAATTCCTGCTGATGAATACTTGCTACATGCCTTGTTTTAGTATTAGATCAATATTATCTAAGCAACTGTACTTGTAACCCAATAGGTTGATTTTAGCTTGACCCAACGTAATCTGTGAAATGATTTTACTGTATAAAAAAACTACTAGACAATTCAATTTTACTGTATAAAAAAACCCTAGAGTTTTGGTTGGAACCCACTTTCATGCTCCCTTCTGCTCTCAGGAGCTTTTCTGTTTCATAAACTTTCTAACTTGCCTTCTGCATCCTCTGTTCCATTATTTGCTGACATGAAATATGAACTTGGTACAGTTAACAGGTTAGAATGCACTTTACAATGGCATTTACAACTTAAGTGTTCATAAATGCTAAAAGGTAGAAACAAATGAAATGTCCACAAATTGGAGAATAATCAAAAATTTAAATTTTCCATATTATTCCTTCATAAAAAGAAATAATTTTCTGATAAATGTTACAATATAAATTCATCTTGGAAATATGCAAAAATGACACACAGAAAGTGTTAAATTATCAACTTATACAAAATGGTCAGAATATGAAAATATATGAAGTAAACAGTAGGTTAGCAGTTCATAAGCCTTGGGGAAATAGGAGAAATAAAGTGTCAGGGTTCCTTTAGGAGCTAAATAAAATATCCCAAATGGATTAGGCTGTTGACTGTATA